CAGTAGTTTTAATGCCCAATGATTTGTCTTGCAGAAGTGAATGGGAGATTAATCTATAATCTGTATTTCCTGCAGATCAGAGAACAATCAGGGTACAAGTACAGCATGGTCATGTTGTTGGATGAATATCCTAGACAATACAAGTTTAAATCCATCTGTAGCAATTTGAAAATTTGAATTCAAGATATCAAAAAATTCGAAGTATAGAAACTAATATCAATAAGAAGCCTTGCAGCTGCTGGATAATTGGGAGAAAAAAACAACTCATTCACTAACTCACCAGGTCTGACAGCAACTGTGGAGAGAGAGGAGTTAATATTTCAAGTCAGTATTGACTCTCTTCACAGAAACTGCCAAACCCGCTGAGTTTCTCCAGCAGTTTCTGTTTAAATTTCATGTCTTCAGCATCTGCAGTATGTTGCTCTCATTCGCTAATCTCCTTTAGGCAAAGAAACCTGTTCTTACCAGGATCGCCTCCAATTTCTCATTACTCTGGTGACGATTAACTAACCTGTGAAGTGACTTAGCAAATCTGAAAGAAGAGATGGACGGTAAGTAACTACCTTGTGTCGATTCCAATAATAATTGTTTAATCCTGAAGGCTGGTCTTTCAATGATGACAGTTTACCTTCCATTTCCTCACCTGATTGCCCACCGTGCTGCCTCGTCTCACCCCCAGGGAATGTACTAAGACTGTAAGACATAAGGGCAGAGTAGGCCATTGAACTCCTTGAGTCTGCTCTGCCATTCAATGAATCACGCTGATCTGATAACCCTCAACTCCACCTTCCTGCCCTTTTCCCCATATTCAGCAATTCCTATTTTTCTAATCAACCTGTTCAGAGATGTTGTTACACACCTCTGGAGCAGGTAAAAATCTCTCTATCTCAGCCTTGAATAAAATTAATGACCCAGCCTCATCAGCCCTCTGCAGTAAAGAATTCTACAGATTCACTACCCATTGAGAGAAGAAATTGGTCCTCATTGCGGTCAAAAATATTCTAAGATTATGCTCTCTCTTCCTCAGCTTTCCCACAAGGGGAAGCAATCTCTGCATCTGCCTTGTCAAGTTCCCTAACAATCTTTTATGTTTCAATGAGGTCACCTTTCATTCTTCTAAATTCCAATGAGTACAAACTCAACCTACTCAATCTTTCCTCATAAGAAACACCCATCAAACCTGGTATCAGCCTAGTCAAACTCCTCTGGACTGCCTCTAATACCAATTTACTTTCATTAAATAAAGAGCCCAAAACTGTTTACTGTATTCCAGCTGCAGTCTGACTAGTGCGTTGTATTGTTTTTGCAAAATGCCCCTACTTTTGCACTCCATTCCCTTTGAAATAAAGGCCAACATTCCATTTGCTTTCCCTATTACCCCCCAAACTTGAAAGCTAACATTTTGTGTTTCATGCATGAGGAATCCCAAATCCCCCTGTGCTATAGTTTTCTGCAGTCTTACTCCACTTAAATGATAGCCAGGTCCTCTATTCTTTCTGCCGAAGTACATAACTTCACATTTTCCCACATTATATTCCATCTGCCAAGTGTTTTGCATACTCACTATCTTGTCAATATCGCCCTGCTGACTCTTTGTAACATCCTCACCACTTACCATTTTATCTATTTTTGGGACATCCTCAAATTTGGCCAGAATACATACACTTTCCTCATGCAAGTCATTAATATATATTGCACTGATCCCTGTGGCACTCCATTGGTTACAGATTGCCATCCTGAAAAAGACCCTTACACTCCAACTCTCTGTCTTCTGTTCGTGAGCCAAGCCTCCAGTGTCAGCTGAGCTTGATAGGTTTGCCTACCCCTTGGCCCTTACGTCAACTGGGCTAGACACCTAATGGGAGGCTCAGACCAGATAGTCATTTATCTTTCTCCAAGGGATTGCATGTTAATGTTAAGAAAATCCTAAAATATGACTCCCAAGTCCTTTTGTGCTTCAAATTTCCAAAGCCTTTCTTCATTTAGAAAATAGTGTATACCTCTATTCTTCCTACCACTTTTCCACATTGTATTCCATCTGCCACTTTTTTGCCCAGTTTCCTAGCATGCCCAAGTCCTTCTGCAGCCTCCCTGCTTCCTCAACACTACCTGCTTCCTCACCTATCTTTGTGTCATTTGCAGACTTAGCAACAATGTCCTCAGTTCCTTCATCGAGATCATTAATGGAGAACGTGAATAGTTGTGGTCCTAATACTGACCCCTGCAAAACTCCACTAGTCACTGGCTGCCATTTTGAAAAAAAAAACACCTTTATCCCACTCTCTGTCTTCTGCCAGTCAGCGAATCCTCAATCCATGCCAGTAGTTTGCCTACAATACCATGGGCTTTATCTTATTTAGCAGCCTCCTTGCAGTTCCTTGTCAAAGGCCTTAGGGAAATCAAGTCCACTGGCTCTCCTTTGTCTAACTTTTTCTTTGCCTTCTCAAAGAAATCTAACAGATTTGTCAGGCATGGAATCCCTTTGTCAAAGGGCTGTGCTGACTCAACCCTATTTTACCACGTACTTCCAAGTATTCCGCAATCTCGTCCTTAATTATGGACTCTAAAATCTTACTAACCACTGAGGTCAGGCTATCTGACCTATAAAAACCGAAAGAACAGCGGATGCTATAAATCAGGAACAAAAATTGCTGGAAAAGCTCAGCAGGTCTGGCAGCATCAGTGAAGAAAAATATCAGAGTTAACGTTTTGGGTCTGGTGACCCTTCCTCCAGTTCTGAGGAAGGGTCACCAGTCCCAAAACATTAACTCTGATTTTTTTCTTCACAGCTGCTGCCAGACCTGCTGAGCTTTTCCAGCAACTTCTGTTTTCTAACTGACCTATAGTTTCCTGTTTCCTGCCTCCCTCCCTTCTTAAACAGGCATGTTGCATTAACAATTTTCCAGATCTCTCGGATCCTCCCTGATTCCAGTGATTCCTGATCTAATGTCTCTACAATCTTCTCAGCTATCTCCTTCAGAACTGTGGGGTGAGTCCATCTGGTCTGGGTGATTTGTCCACCTTTAGATCTTTCAACTTCCTCAGCACCTTCTCCTTAGTGATGGCCACTACACCCACCTCTGCCCCCTGCTTGTCTTGAAGTTCTGGTGCGCTGCTGGTGACTTCCTCCATGAGAAAGTACCTATTCAGTCCCTCCTCCATTTCTTTGTTCCCCATTATTACTTCTCCAGCCTCATTTTCCTGTGGTCCAAAGTCCACTCTTGCCTCTCTCTTACCTTTCTGATATCGAAAAAAATCTCTTAAAATGGGCTCAGTAATATTTTCTGAAGAAGGATCCCGACCCAAAACGTTAGCTTCCCTTCTCCTCTGATGCTGCCTGGCCTGCTGTGTTCATCCAGCTCCACACTGTGTTACCTCAGACTCCAGCATTGGCAGTTCTTACTATCTCTCAGTAATATATCCAGTATGTTTTTGCTTCAATGTCTGCAGCATCTGTCTTCAAGCAGGATTTCAACTTGCGCAAGCATACTTGTTTGTAAAATCCAAATCCACGTCATTAGAGTAGATAATGAAATGCAGTCATCCTGGGCTAATGGATGCAGCGCTGGAGATTTTAGCAATGTAGCTGGGCAGGAGGTAAGGTAACATGATTCTACCAAAGGAACAGGAGATCCTTGAGGACCCCTTGGAATGAGAAATAGAAGTAGGAAACTAGGTGAACTTCATGAGTCTTGGCACAAGGAGCAGTGTTACAATGAGAGATTTCATGATTTCACACAGGGATATTTTTATTACGACGTATTATTTCATGGGATGTAGGCATCTTCATCAAGGCCAGAATTTCTTGCCCATCCTTTATTGCCATTGAACTAAGCAGCTTGCTAGGGCAGTTAAGAGTCAACCACATGACTGTATGACTAGAGTCACATGTGGATCTGACTGGATAAGAATGTCAGATTTTCTTCCCTAAAGGACATTCTTCAGCCTGATGAGTTTTTATGTCAATTGTGTCACGTTACTGAGACTAGATTTCAATTTCAGATGTATTAATCGAACTTAAATTCCACTAGCTGCCATGGTGTGATTAGAGCCTGTGCCCCCCAAAACATTAGCCTTGGTCTCTGGACAATGAATCCCACAGCATTACCACTGTACCATTGTCCCCCCCTTGTCATCAGGTTAGCATCAGTGAATGCATCATTACCAGACGTCTCCTCCCAACAGAAAACCAACTTCTCACACTGCTCAACTCATCAAAACCCCATGATTCATCCATCGTCAGCTGTTATACTTCAGCTCACTGCCAGACATTGATCAATACAGGTCAGTGGTCAATTAGGAGCGTGTGTGCTCCATGGTTTAAATAGGTGGATAGTGAGTGTAAATTATAATATTTTGAGAGAGTGCATTAAATTGAATTTTCATTACCTTTTTAATCATGGTATTGGGAATGTAATGCTAAGTGAAAAACCAATGGAGCATGGACCCATGTTCCTTAGATACTTACAGGCTTATTCCAAACAGAACAAGAAAACGAAAATATTTTATTTTTAATGTAAGCTTTAGGCAAATACTAAAAATCCTAGCAGCCAATTAACATGCCAAGGGTGTGTATTGTTCACAGCAGCAATACTTTTGTGTCAGATGGTTCAAGCTGCTTATCTGGCACCTAGATTAAGTTTCTCCTTGGAATTGTTCCATTACTGGGGAACAGGAGCATTAATCAGTCATTTCCTTCACTTTGTCTATTGACATTGTTTTGTATTCTACATTTTCCCAAGTGCAGTTTAAATATGGAGAAGGTATATAATAACGTGTTAGTTTGGTGCTGGTGTGTGCTGTACATTATGGTTTTCTTTAAAATATTGCCACTTGTGTATTGGTAGTTGTAAAGGTAAGGTGCTATAACTTGTTTTCAAACATTGTAGATTAAACAGAATGGATTTAGAGTTTTTACAGTCTGAGCTAGACTATTACCCAGTCACCATCTACCAGTTTCTGAGTGCCCCATTTGCACTTGCTTTCTATCACCTCTCCATCACAGGACACCTTCATCCGACTGCAAGGTAAGAATGCCTAAGCTTTATCAATAATACGTGGTACAATGCCCTATCTTTTAATCATTAAAAGTTCTTAATTCTATCGCATATGTTCTGTAATCTCAATGTCATGAAAATGCACATTTTCAGTTGACCACTGGGTAACAAAACAGGTGAAACTTTTTTGGTAGGTTGGAATAACACCTTAATAGTCAGCGATTTGTGTTACAATTTAATATTTCTTGCTAATAAATTGAATTCAAATCTTATGAGATACCGTTATATTGGAATGGGACAAATGGAAACTGAGTCTTTTGTGACTTCATTTTGTAGGTAGGCTTTTGCATTTGTAAATTCATAGCTTGAGTACAGGTCCAAAAGCAAGCTACAAAAATGGAGTTAAAATTTCAGATTGATTGTTGTATGTGACCTTGCCTTTAATAGTGTTCACCTTTAAGGACTACATTTGCCGTGTGTATGCAATGTTGCAACTTTGCCTGACAACTACTTTGCTGTTGGTTGGCTGAACAGTCTGTTTGATAACTTATAATGCGTCTTCCTGTTTGAATTAGTTTATTTAAAAGAGTTGATCCAATCCCTGATGAGCAATTGATTATTAAGCCATTATCATTAATATAACACAGGTGATTGGCGGTGGTAAACATCATGCTGGTGGATTGTGCTTGAATGGTCAAGCAAGTTAATCTGATGGTGAAACACATAGTCGACTGTCTTAAATCATGGTAAAGTATATGGGACAACCTTCAATGACCTCATTCATTACAGTGTTAAAAACAGAGCTTACTGGTAAGCAGACAAATCCCTATCAAGAGATCTGTTTGACTCACATCAGAAGGTAAATGATCAAGCTGTGTGCTGTATCAATAGCAAGCAAGGGAAGAAGCATGTTGTCAGAATGTCCAAAAGTTCCCTCATTTAAATTGAGACACAACAGACCTTCTAATAGAATTTAACATGTCTAAACAGCATTCAGAGCTATGGTTTGTAGATTAGGGTGTATACAATGCAGAAAATCAAGATTTTCTTAGCAATTGGGAATGAAAAGCCACACAGACTTAACACATCAAGATTAACTGCAAAAGAGCTAAAAGATCCCTAAAAGATACAGATCATTCATGATGGTGACTGTGCTTAGAGGTGCCACTGATTTCCACGCCTCACTGATATTGTATGTCATTCCTGTTTGTGTTGTAGTTGCTTTTCCAGAATGTACTCATCATGATAAAAGGTTAGTGGCCTGAAACTTTAACTCCATTTTAATGTCCAAACATACTGTCTGACCTACTGGCTATTTCCAGCAATTTTTGTTCTTCTTTCATATTTCTAGCGTATGCAATATTTTGCATTTGAACAAAAACTGAGTTGTGAAGAGACAGGAAAATGATTGGCAGAAATCTGGCTTGTAATTGTTTCTTTCAGTCTTTTATGACTACATAAGATAGACCCAGGGATTTAAGGAGCAAAACATTATCCTAATTTGATTATAAAGTACATCCTTTACTCTCCTATGTTATGTTGATCAAAATGAGAATTAGGGCTTTCTTGCAGTGGCTAAACTTGGAACTCACTTTTGCAAACAGCTGCTACATTTAAATAGTGAGATAAACAAAAAGAAAATAAACAAACAGTTGTTAACAGCAGGCATTTAATTATCATGAAACTGTTTAACTGTTTCAAGTGCTTTGATTATATAAAAGACAAGAATATTTCCTGCGCCCTTTCTTATGGTGAGTCAAGGGTTATGGACTCATAAGGCTGTTAGCTCTAGTGATACAAGAGCATTCTGTTTACTTTGTAAAATTAGTTGAAGAAAAACTAGAAGTTAAACATTTGAGAGCTTCGTTCCCAGAACAGTTTATTTTTAAGTAGAAATTTTCAGTGCAAGAGCTCACAGATATCTTTAAGTCTGACAAGTTAGTGATCACACATACATTGAATCTTCTATTTGTGTCCAACCTGATATTTCAGTACAGATGGAATGCTGTTCTGCCAAAGGTGATGTGTTAAAGCAATGTTTCACTTACTCTCTCAGGTCAATGTAAAAACTCCACAGTACTATTTCAAAGAAGAGCATGGGAATCTTCCCAGTGTCCTGGGCAACACTTACACCCTCAACCAATATCAATAAAACAGTTTATCTGATTATTATCATATTGTTGTTTGTGGGATCTTGCTGTGGAACAATTAGTCACTGTATTTCCAGCATTACAAGAATGACTGCAATTCAAACGTAATTCATTGCTGCACAGCACTTGGAAACGTTTAGAATTTCTCAAAGGTGCTACATAAGTGACAGGCGTCCCTTTATCTTCAAACTATAAACATTGAACAAGTTATAAATCTGAGAAACGGAACTTTTAACATGTACATTTTTCAAGGCCAGAACTAAGACAGATGTCACAGGGGATTGTACGTGGGTTGTACCTGAGGTTCAAAAGCGGTGGCCAATTTGGGTTTGTGGGAATTTCACAGTCTTGCTGGTACTAGGGGTGGCCCAGAAATATAGCATAGGAAAGAATTGCAGTTTAGTAGCAATCATATGTTAGGCTTGGTCCGCTGGGTGATTCCTGAAGCTGGAAGCATTTTAAGGTTCTAAGGATTAGTGGCACTGGGTCAGGCATGGGTTTCTGGCAGTATTGGAAGTGCTAAAACAAAAACAGGGATTGCAGGTGAAACTCAGCAGGGCTAGCAGCATCTGTGGTACAAAGTAGAGTTAATGTTTCGAGTCTGGTGTTTCTTAATTAGAACCAGATCTCCAGTATCTGCAGTTCTTTGTTTTATTGGAAGTACTTTCTAACTCTAGTTAAAGTGCAGAACAATTACTGGTGTCTATCAGTACAGAGGGCTAAGGGCAGATGAGAGAATGGAAGCTAAGAGCCTGATAGTACAGTACTGAGAGGAGGATAGTGACTGGACCTAGCAATAGGATAGGCGTGATTCCAGTAGAACTGAAGGATGCACTGAGGCGTGCAAAATTGAATACTTGAAAATTGAAAATTGAATAAATTTAAACTGCACCTTTTTATTTAAAGTTTATTTCAATGTTTTCAGGCAACATTTTTTAGTAGTCTTGTGGTTTCCTGCCTTTTAGATTCTCAAGTTTGCAAACTGGACCCCAGGAACCTATTGAGTCTCCCTTTGGTTGCCCTCCCCAGAGGGTAGAAAAAGATAATCTGCAAAATAAAGAAAGACCTTGCAATTATTTAGGACAGTTCATGATTTCAGGGCATTCCAAAGTGCTTTATAGTCAACAAATGGCTCTTAAAGTTTAGTTACTGTTGTAAAGGGCAGCAATGAGATAAATGATCAAATAATCTGATTGAGCAACTGTGGCCAAGGATCTCTTGCAGCTATCTGAGAGGGCAGATACAGCCTTAGTTTTGACACACAGTAATAATTCTTACGTTAGCTGTTATTATGTGTTTAGGTACATGTGTTAAGAACTGTATGTATCAATGTATGTCACATGTTGATGTGTGAGTATGCATATATGTGTATCAATGTATAAGAGTTTGTAACTGTATTTATACATGAGTGTGACTGTATAAAATAAAGTATTTCTGTCACCATGTTTCAGTACGTGGTTTGTAATGTGAGTGTGTGTCCATATGTGTATGTGAGTTTGTGTATCTCTGTTGGTGCATGTGCTTGTATTTCTTTAAGAAAAGTCAATTGAGAATGAAGTTGCAATTCATGTGGTCACATTTAAAGAACAGAATTTGTTATACTTTTCCAGGTACGTATTCCTTACATTTGGAGGACTTCTTTTGGCAATTGTTTCCATGGGACCTTATGCTGTGATAGTGCTCATACCTGCTGTTTTTGCCGTGGTGTTTGTACATTCTCTGCAGCCCAGAATCGTTCACAAGTGGACCTTTCTCATTCAGATGACATGGCAAACACTCTGCCACTTCTGGCTACACTACAAAGAATATTACCTACAAGAAACAACAGACATCAAGTAAGTGTATTACTTATAAGCATTAATATCTAGGCATCAGCTTGATGGCAATCCCAGCATAGTTATTAGCGCTTTTATTAAACTCATATCTATTATCCAGGCCATTAGACAACAAGTCTTTCTGCAAATGTACAAGATGCTAGTGAGACCACATCTGAAGTACTGTGAATAGTTTTGATCCCTTTATTTAAGGAAAGATATAATTTCAGTGGAGGCAGTTCAAAGATTATCTCATGAGCAAAGGCTAAACAGGTTCGGACTCTACTCACTACAGTTTAAAAGAATGAAAGGTGATCTCATTGAAAAATATAGGACTTTTAAGGGGCTTGACAGGATAAATGCTAACGGGATGTTTCCCCTCATGGGAGAGTCTAGGGCCAGTGGGCATAGTCTCAGAATAAAGGGGCGCTGATTTAAGACTGAGATGGGGAGGAATTTCTTCTCTAAGAGAGTTGAGAGTCTTTGGAACTCCTTTTCACAGAGAGCTGTTGGAGCAGAGTCCTTTTGTATATTTAAAGACTGAGATAGATTCTTGACCAGTTGGGGAAACAAGGGCTATGGGAAAAGGCAGGAAAGTGGATGTGAGGCATGTTGGATCACCCATTATCCTAGTGAATGGCACTGCAGGCCCGGGGGTTGGGGGGCTGTACAGCCTACTCCTGTGCCTATTCCTTATGGTCTTAGGGAACTGAACAAGAGTGAGGTCAGGTGGGGAATTCTCATAAAACAGAAAGTGATAGAAGTATCTGACAGCAAACCCTCATTATCAGTTTCCAATTCTGCTTCCTGCCCAGCATCTATCCAGAGTGGCAGAAAGCCAACAGTAGGAGACCAGAGTTGAAGATATTAGGATGGGGGATCAAGGATTTCAAGATCAGGGAGCATATTTTTAAGGTGAGAGAATAGAGATTTTAAAAAGACATGAAGGGTAAATTTTTTACACAAGAGGACAGGTTGCTCTTGGAATGAACTTCCTGAGGATGTGGTGAATGTGGACACTGTTACAACATTTAAAAGACACTTAGATAAGTACCTGAATAGAAAAGGTTTGGAGGGATATGGGCAGGGAGCAGGCTGGTGGGACTAGTTTATTTCGGGATTTTGTTTGGTATGGACTGGTTGGACCGAAGGGTCTGTTTCCGTGCTGTAGGACTCCATGACTCTAGAATGCCTAAGACAGAGATGAAGAGGAACTTCTTCTCTCAGAGGGTAGTGAACTTGTGGAATTCTTTGCCACACAGGGCTGTCAAAACGGTCAGTAAGTGTATTCAAGACTGATAAAGACGAATTCTTAATCAGTAACAGAAGTGCACAACCAATTAAAAACATCATAAATCACAAGTGCGGATTGCCCTGTTTTATTGCAAACAAATTTTAGAAGATCAGTGAGATTCATTTCATCGAGTAGCAAATGACAGCTGTGTGGAAAATTGCACTAAGTCAGTGGACAAATTTCTGTTGCTGACCTGCCAAGGGGAGGACAATTTTTTTTTTCCTCATGTATCTGTTATTGCAATAGCCACCATGATTTATTTACTGATATGTTCTCCTTTGGCCCCTGAAGATGGTCAATACTGTCACACTGTACTATCACTCTGAGCTGAACTGCCTAATGGTGTATCAAAGGTGCCAGAATGATTCGAGAGCTTGTGTGATGAGCCTTTGCCACACTAGGGTGAGCCATTCTGCTCAGATCCTCTACACACACCTTACCCACCAATGTACGCCAGGAATAACCCCCTCTCTGATTTGGTGAGAATAATGATAAGTACGTTGTGTTAATCAGCCAGGAGACCAAAAATCAAGTTCTTGAGTTAAACTTTCACAATTATGTCCTCCTTCTTTAGCAAGAAAGTGATAGGAAGCCTTTATACATGTACTTGTGTTTCATTAATTAACCTATTTGTCAAAATTAATTCTCTCTTCATAACTATTCCTGGCTCAGTTGAGATACTTGACATTTCAGAAACTGGCTGCATAAACCAAGTGTGTGTCAAGTCAGGTCTTCTGCCTCTGGTCTGGGTAAATACACAGCTTTCACAGCCATCTTCTTTATTTCAAACACACTGGAGCCACTACAACTGCAGTAGACACTCGACATTGAATAGGCACAATGTCTTGCTAGATCATCACTCCATCCAACTGGGCAAAGGCAATGCACAAGTGTCACCTTCTCAAGTGGCACTTCAGCAGAAAAGGCAACAAGCGTTTCTTTCATATGAAGCACTTTAACATGGAAGGGAAGGCAGGCAGGCAAATTGTCAGACCCAAGAATCATGAAGCAGGAATCCTTTATTCCCGTGGCATCAGGTCAATACAAACGGATGGTAATTAAGGATAAACAAGAACTATATTACCATGTGGGTTACATTAGGCTGAGGAATCTCTTCATCTGTCTGCCCTCCCTCCACATGAGACCTGTTTTCACCAAAAATGCTCTGTATTTCCAGCGAGAGTCCATTCAACTACACTCCAGTTGCCCTCCCTAAACATTGTCATCTGCTGGTGGTGTTCCTGCTCAGAACTGCTCAGCTGCCTTGCTTGTCCACAATCACCATGGCTACCTTCTGCTGCAGGTCCCATTACACAGTGAGGAGGAAATGTGAAAAGGGGGAGTGGGTTTGGACATGGCATGGTGCTGTGTGAATGTCAAAGATGGTGCAAGTGCCAGCAGCTTACATAATAAACACAGTACATGAACTTGTAGAAACAGTATTGCATGAAAGACAAAAGGGGAAGCATATTCAGTGGGGAAAGTGTGAGTTCCAGTCATTTGGGAGTTCCACCACATTCAGTCCAGGACCTGGGCTGTTCCAAGTCTAAGGGTTTGGCCATGGTTAGTTAGGTAGTTAATCAGATGCAAATATCTGTGTTGTTTTAGTCCAGAATTGGGTCACGATCAGTCCAGGGTTTGGGCCACAATCAGTCAGGGCATTCCTGCAAAGTCTTTCTGGGAGCTGCAGCACAGTCAGTTGGGTCAGGATGGTTCATACGTGATCTGAAAGTTTTAACGGTCAGTCCATGCCATTGTTGAGGCTGTGGGCAGCTCAGATCTAGGAAGTGGCCTGGTTGCATTCACTGGCTGAGGAACAGTCATAGTGATTGGGTTAATTGTGGATGGTAGGCTGGATTATCAGAAGGGACTGCTTAGAATCAAAGTGGGGTGGGTGTTGAGAAAATGGTGGTTTTGATTAATGCAGCTTAAACAACACTCAAGAAGAAATTCACCAATGCTCCTAAGACAACCCCTTCCAAACCTCCAATTATTACCGTCTAGAGGGACAAGGGTAGCAGACACATGGGAGTACCACCAACTACAAGTTCCTCTCTAAGCTACTCCCCATCCAAACTTGGAACTATATCCCTAGTTCTTCATTGTTGCTGGGTCCAAAGTTTTGGAATTCCCTCCGTAACAGCACTATAGGTGTACCTACTCCAAACTGACTGCAACAATTCAAGATGGCAGCTCACCACCACCTTCTCGAAGGCAATTAGGGATGGGCAATAAATGCTGGCCCAGCCAGCGTCATCCATACTCCTGAATTTATTTTTAAAAATCAACTGTGTAATACGGCTTTCAACATTGACAAAGTAGCACCCAAAGGGGAAGGACCAAGTCTCTAGGACTGAAAAACATCAGATTGCAGCTGTCATATCCTGCTCAAGACGAAGTCTGCTGGGAGAGGATTTTTGTGGTAAGGTTGTTGTGGAAGGGAAGTGGGTGGCAAAGGTCCTCCTGGCAGCTGCTTCATTGCCAAGGCCAAATGGACACTTTCTTGGGTCACCTTACATGAGGTGAGGATGGATAATGTGCATGGACAGGGGTATCATCAGGCTTGAAGGAAATCCTTTCCCTCCTGGATCCTTAGATACATTACAGATTCCGTCAGCACACTCATAAACCGAACATGTAGATTTCATCCACTGGATATCCCAGGCTTTGACTTCTCCCCTATGTCTTATTGTTATCCTCAGTGTCCCTGATAGTCATCTGTAGAGCTTTGACTACAATCCAATCAATGTACTCATTGGACTTTAGAAGAATGAGAGGAAACATTTCGGTTCTTGGGGGCTTGACAGAATAGATACAGAGATGTTGTTTCCCTTGGTGGGAGAGTTTAGAGTTTAGTAGTCCTCCTGTGGATTTCTTTACTGCAGAGTGCTATGGAGGCTGGGTGCTTAAAGTATATTCAAAGCTGAGATAGACATATTTTTAATCAGCAACAGATTAAAGAGTTATGGGGCTAAGGTAGGAAAGTGGAGTTGAGGATCATTAGATCATCCATAATCGAATGGCTGAGAAAACTTGATGGACTAAATGGCTTACTTCTGCTCCTACATCGAATGGACTTACGGACTAAGAATATAACCAGATGAATGTAATCTCACTGACCTGATGGTGGTGGAGTGATTTTAGGAGTGGACGGTAAAAGGCCGCAAATGGGTTATGAAGGATGAAGAGGGGTTGTTTGCCTTCACAACTATTGTAAAGGATGTCATCTCTGACTTCAGTAAAAGCAGTTTCAGTTATGGTATTTATAGTTTCAATTATGAGCTGAAAGTAATTGGAGGGTTATAGACAAGGCATTCCTGGAAGGATGGGCATGAATATCGAAGACAATACGTTCAAGGACTTTTGAGAGGAAAAAGAGTCTGGAGATGGCATGGCAGTTTACAAGGATGGTGGAGAAAGTATTTTTTTTGAAGACAGGAATATTGTCAGCTGATATAAGGAACAAAGGCCAGAACTTGAAGAGGGAGAACAGTTTACAATACCAGCTAACATGGAAGTCAAGAAGGGAAGTTGTGTGCTCAGTAGTTTTGTGAGGATAGCATCAAGAGAGCAGTAGGTGGATCTTATGGTCAACGTCAACTTCAATAGGGCATGAGGCGGGGTTAGGAGTAAAACCACAGAAAGATACAAGTTCAGGGTTAGGGAATGGGGAAACATTAGAAGTTAGCTTGGTGGTCTAGGGGAAGGGGGAGAAATGGCATAGGAAGCTGTTCAGATGGTCTTAATCTCAGTAACAGACAAATCTATTAGCTCTTTGCACATATTCTTAGGACTGAGGCTGGAAAAGACAGAGAAGGCAACTTGCAGTAGAGAAAAGGAGCCAGATGTTAACATTGCATTCAAGATGACTCTGGAATAGTTCGCAGTCTAAGCAGAGAAGATTAGGACCCAACAGTGCTTCATGTGGTTCATGTAGATCTGGCAATAAATGTCTAAACCAGTTGTCTACCACATCCATTCAAAACTGCGAGACCTGGACTTAAGAGAGTGGAGATGAAGGCTATACTGTAGTGAATGACCAAGTTATATTTAGATTTAGGTTCTTTTGTCACATGTTGTCAAGTACGGGCTACAAGAGTACAGTGAAAAGTGTACAATGTCACTACACACAGCACCACCTTAGGAACAAAGTACCTTGTTACAAAATCTTAGTTACAGAACTAGAAAAATAAAGAAATAAAGTTAAAATGTCAAATATTACAGTCCTTTCTTAAGCCATGGACCTGCAGATGCTCCAGACTGGACTTTCCCCAAGAGGGCTCGCTCTCCCCCACGCTGTGCGTGATTTCACTGGCATTGGGTGAAGACCCACCTGGGTACACCAGGCTTCACCGCCGCTCGCAAGGCTTCAGTCCTGACCTCTGTATTACCAATGACTGCCACTGCCGCCATCCCTTATGGCTGACTGCCACTCCTACCATGCTTCGTCACCAAGCTACTGCCACCAACTGGTAGTGCGCCATGCCCCAGCCTCCAAAAGGCTTTGTCGCTGCCACTGCCTCCACAGCCTCCAAAAGGGAAGTAAGAAACACTACAAACTAAAAATAAAGACTGAAAAAAGAAGAAAAACAAATGAAAGTGGGTGAAATGGATGAGATCCAGGCTCAGGAGCCCAGACGCTGCCTACTCCGCGCCGCCATCTTGAAACATTTCAAAATACCGGACCTGTTCATGGCTCATTCAGTCAAAAACAGGAATAAATCGATTTACAAACACCGATGAACCCCTTAACTCGTGCTGTCATAATCAGGTTCAAAGAGACTAATGGTTTTAGTTAGGACTAAGGCATTAAACAGTGATGGTGAAAGTGCAACCACACAGATCAACAGCTGCAGAAATATTGCATTGAACAGAGGGCCAGAGGTAGACCAGTAGGATTTTGAAACTACCACTGTAGGCGAAGTGGGAGGGAATATTTTCCTGGGGCAGATGCAGAGGGAGGGTGCGTGCATGTAACTTTATGAATGAGAAGGTTATTAAAATTTATGTGATACTCAGCTATATCAATAGAAGATTGGCATTCAAAGGCAAAGGAATTATGCTAAATCTTTATGAAATGCTGTTTAGACTTCATATTAAGTACTGTGTTCACTGCTGGGTACCACACCTTAGAAAGTATGTTAAAGACTTAGTGAGTACGTACAGGAAGGATTGACTGGAATGGTCCAAGAAATGAGGGCCTTCCATTATGTGGCGAGTCTGGAGAGTTGGGGTTGTTCTCTAAAGAAGAATAGGATATTTAATAGAGATGTTAAAATTACTAATGGTTTTGATAGAGTAAAAAAGAAACATCTGTATCTCGTGGTGAAAATGTTGGGAACCAAGGCGACAGATTTAATGCGATTAGCAAAAGAACCCAGAACAAGCATATTTTTAATATCTCCAGTTGTTGTGATCTGGAGTGCACTTTCTGAAAGGGTCATAAGACAGATTCAGTGGTAAATTCAAAAAGTTCAGCTTGAAGGAAACACCTGGCAGGATTGTGAAGAAAGAACTAGGGATTGGAATTAATTAGATAGCTCTACCAAAAACCGAGCCAAATGGCTTCCTTCTCCACAGTGCCTTTCTTTGGTTCTATGGTGAGGACAATCTAATCTTTGCACAACCAGAGGATTGATATCTGGAATGGACTCAGAGTAACCAGGGTAAGGCTGAAAGCAAAAGAAAAAGAGTTAAGCAGTGCACTTGACAAACTATATGGTTCTATGAAAGGATGAGGCGGGGTTGAATGATCTCCTACTTCTTTAACTGTGACAGCGAATATCCAGTTGTTTTGGGGATTTTGCCCTTGAGAGTTACACTTGTTGAGCAAAGAGCTCAATAGCCATGGGAAAATAAATCTTAAAAGCTGTGCCTTCTATCTGCTGCTCACACCCAGTGCTTGAATTGTTTTAAACAGGTATACTGTTCCAGCAACTGTTGTACAAATACAAGCTAATGCTTTTAATGATATGAACTGTGCTTGTTTCTATATTCAGGTTCAAAATAGCGCTGTCGTCTCTGATGCTGTTAACCCAAAGAGTAACATCAGTGTCATTGGACATTCATGAGGGCAAAATCAAGATCCCAGCTCAAATAATACAGCAACATCGCTTTGACGCTGAAATTCTCTCTTATTCATTCCCATTCTTCAGCTACATGCTATATTTCCCTGCACTACTCGGAGGGCCTCTGTGTTCTTTTCAAATGTACAAGATTCACATGGAAAATCTTAAGAAGTCTGATCAGAAAAGCATTGCCAAACCCTTGTGGTCTTTCTTTTACAAGTGCATCCTATTTTTTGTGTTGAATATGCTGAGAGTGTCTGTAAGGAATTGTGTTAGTGTTATTAAACGTAGTGACAAAAGATCCCTTCAATGGGATGTTCCTAATGATATTTTCATGATTTGGGCAACAGCTTTGATGTTCAGATTAGCATATTACTCTCAATGGCTTCTTAGTGAATCTCTTAACAATCTAGTTGGCCTGGGGTTGGTGAATGGCAGCATTCAACAGTTTACCCTTTCGGATACTGATATCTGGACACTTGAGACAACTAATAAGATATCTGAGTTTGTTCGAGTATGGAACAAAACCACAGCTGGTTGGCTAAGGAGAATGGTGTTTCAACGCAGCAAACTTCAGCCTTTTATTTCAACATTTGCCTTTTCAGCTTGGTGGCATGGCCTTCACCCAGCCCAGATCTTTGGATTTACCTTGTGCGCTGCTACTGTAAAAGTGGACTATCGTGTTCACCAATATATGGGCCCACTCACTGCACAATCAAGGTTCCTAAGACTATTCTACAAAGTCATGACATGGATGCAAACTCAACTGGTAACTGCCTACATTTTAGTAGCTGTGGAGTTGAGGACCTTTTCTTGTGTGTTGGAGCTGTGCAAGTCTGTCTGTGCTGTCAGCCCATTAGTGTATGTACTGATGCTAATAGGTATGCCAAACAAGCCAAGTAAAAATTAAAAAGTTTACCATGTACACTCTGTTCCTTTCATCTAATTAATGTGGTATCACGTGGTTTTCAAATCATTTGGTCTTATCATAAATGTCTGAAGAATGTGGATGTTTTTGTGAATTAGAAACACTAATGTGCCAGTCTTCCTAGTCTGTTCAGCAAGTTGGCATGTTAGATGTGCTCCTAGTGGCAGCAGGGGTGGAGGGGGTGAGGTAGGTACACAGATTCCTCCTGACCCAGTGAGCCTTGGAATGTACACGTTAGTATCTCTGCCTACATTTTTTCACAGTCCAGGCATCCATTTCCCCAGCCTGGGGTATCAATTCATCCAATCGGCCACCTTTAAACAGCTCTAATCCCCTAACAAGATCTTTTCACTCTGGTTTTGTGAAATGCGTGTTTCCATTTAACAGTACTCAGAACTCTTGTTAACAATTTTGAAAAGGACTCTAATTCAGTTCCTGTATTCTTCAAAAACATTGAGGCAATTATCTCATGTGTGAATCTTACCCACTTGTGAGAAGGGAGACCCCAGTATATAAAATAATTACTTCAGCATGGAATGAAAGAACTTTTGGATGGTGACATAATAATTACAGCAAAATGCTATTTATTATAAACTATTCAATGTACTTAGCATTCCTGGTCCTTTAATTGTATACAGCCCTCCTTGTGTTATTTTAATCTTAGAATCTTGTATTCTGGCTATCATACCTATTTATTCATAGAATCATAAAATCCATACAGTGCGGATTTGGCCCATCAAATCTGCATTGGCCCTCCAAAGAGCATCCCACACAAACTCATATCCCCATAATTCTGCATTTACCATGGCTAATCCATTTAGTCAGCACATCCCTATACACTACGGAGCAATTAACATGGCCAATCAACTTAGTCCCCTAATCTTCTTATTCACCTGCATAAAAATTCTTATGTTCACATATATTTTGCTCATCACACTCCAACCATCATATCTTAGCACCATCATTGCAGATGCCAGTCTTCAGCCAATTCAATTAATTTCATCTGAAAACAAGAAACATCTGAGTGCACACCTACAACAAAGCCTATGAACCCTGATAACAAAGCAACTTCAATGCTAAACATCTTTGCTCCAATCTAGGCACACCACTAGCCAAGATGTTCCAATCCTGCTATAGTACTGGCAACAATCTGACAAAGTTGAAACTACGCTCAAGTTTGTCTTGACAAATCCAATCAACCTAATAATCCTGTTAGACCACTCTCAATCATCAGCAAAGTGATGGAAGGTCTCATCAAGTGACACTCACTAAATCTAATTTTCTTTTATTTTTTCATGGGAAGTGGGCATTCTCGCAAGGCCAGCATTTATCGCACATTCCTTATTGCCCTCGAGAAAGTGTTGGTGATCTTCCTTCTAGAATTCCGCAGTCCATAGTGGTAGGAATAACACCAATGCTGATAGGAAGAAAGTTCCAGGAGTTTGATCCATTGACAGCGAAGGAATGGTAGTGTGGTTTCAAGCCGGGACGGTGTGTGGTTTTAAGGGGAATTTGCAAGTGATGGGAGTTTCCATGCGACTGCTCCTCTTTTCTTTCCAAGTAATAGATTTCGAGCGCTGATGAAAGAACCTCGTAGAGTTGCTGCAGTGCACCAGTAGACGGTGTGTCAGCTGTGAAGAGAATAAATGTTTAAGGTGGTGGATGGGATGCAAATAGAGTGAGATGGTTTATCCTGGATGGTGTTGATCTTCTTGAATGTTGTTAAGAGCTGCATACATGCAGGAAAATGGAAAGTATTCTATTGCTTCTGCCTTGTAGATCATGTGCAGGCTTTGGGGAGGCAGATTACTTAGGCAAGTGAGTCACTTACCACAGAATTCCCAACCTCCGACCTTCTCCTGTAGCCATTGCATTTATATGGCTGATCCAGTTCAATTTCTGTTCAATGGAAACAACCAGGATGTTGACAGTTGGAGATTCAGGAATGTCACCACATTTTCATGGTGTGAATATTACCTGGCACTTAACAACCCATTGTAAATATTATCCAGTTTTTGTAGGAGTGCTTTTCTTGAGAACTGTGTTTTTGATTTTTAAGGGCTATTTTTTGACTTTCTCATTTCTCATTAATTAATTTCCTTTCTCAAACTCATTAATTAATTTATTAGATGTTGGAACTACACAATAACAATACCTTCTGTATTTGTGTTGATATATAGAGTATCTGGGCTCACAGATATGGGATTAGAAGAATTCATCAATATACTCAATAATTATCAATATTCCATTAAAATTAAACAGAGGGATAACATTAATTTCTTAGACACCATAGTATTTACATTGGTAAATGACAACTGGCATAAATTAACACATTTTTTTTTCAAATTAGCTGACATACACACTTCTACACGTAAAAAGCTATCACCTTAAACATACCTTCTGCAGACTAGAGAGATCACAACTAATGTGTTTCTATTGCATCTGCAAAATACCTGGAGGTTTTTAACAGGCTGTTACTGTTCTATACTATGCAGTTACTATACTGCCTCTCAAATTTAAAATTAATACTTGACACAACATTGGTCGCAATAGCATCTACTACATTCTCCCCCAAATAGTAGCCCCTGAAATTAACCTTAAGCTGAAAATTCCCTACTCATTTCCAAATAATAGGAATTTCATATTTTGCTGCCCCCCCCCCCCCCCCCAAGTTGGTAGATTATTCCCCTGTTGAATATTTTAAAATGCTTTCTCTCCTTTGCAGCTTCCCCTCAGCACCTTTCTCTATTCCCTCCCTTGCAGCATTCTTCTTCCCTGCCACAGCCCACCCAGATCCTCTGTTTTTACCCTCTCTCCACCTTCTTCCTTATCGCACCCTTCCCACCATTGGAGCCTCTTTCTTCCTGCCATCCTTCTCAGAGCTCCTATCTTCCCACCTTTCTTATGGTAGCCTCTTCTCCCAACTCCCCTGACCCAACTCACTAGACAACCTATCAGCAACTAACATGAGAGATAAACAGCTTGCAATTATGAGAGCATTTCCTCACCAAGTCTGTCTCTCCCAGGTATAGAATCATAGAATCTCTACAGTGTGGAAGTAGGCCATTCAGCCCATTGTGTCACACCAACCCTTTGAAGAGTATCACACCCAGAACCTCCTCCTACCCTATTCCTGTGAGCCTGTATTTCCCATGGCTAATCCACCTAATCTTAACATCCCTGGGCACTATGGGCAATTTAGCATGGCCAATACACATAACTGCACAACTTTGGACTGTGGGAGGAAACTGGAGAACCCATAGGAAACACATGTAGACAAAAGGAGAATGTGCAAACTACACATACAGTCATCTGAGGGTAGAATCAAGCCTGGACCCTTGGCACTGTGAGGTAGCAGTGCTAATCACTGTGCCACAACTACTGAGCCACTATGCTATGCAAACATTTTTCTGGTTGATCACTCTTGTGATTGGGTTTTCCAGGGCAGGTTTAGGGACTTTTGGACCAAATTCACCTCTCACCCCTATGTATATTGAATGCCAATGTGGAGATTGACTGCTTTAGATATCTGAGGTGTCATGAATGGTGCAGAACATTGTTCAATTATCAGCAAATGATCTTGTGATGGAGCGAGGTATATTGATGAAGCAGTTGAGGATGGTTGGGCCAATAACACTATCCTTTTTCTTAGTAAAGGGCTCTTGTGATGCACTGGTACTGTCCCAACATCTGAGCCAGGAGGCCTGGGTTCAGGTCCCACCTGATCCAGAGATGTGTAACTATAGTTCCAAACAGGTTGATTGAAAAGTATCTACCCTGAAGAACCTCTGCAGCAATGTTCTCGGACTGAGATAAATGGTCTCCAATGACCACAAATGTCATAGAGTCCTACAACATGGAGATAGGCCCTTCAGCCCAAACTGGTCCATGCCGACAAAATGTCCATCTATGCTAACCCCATTTTTTCTGCACTTTGCCCATATCCTTTCCTATCCGTGTATTTGTCCAAATACCTTTTAAGTGTTGTTAACATACTCACCTCAACCAACTTCCGTTGGCAGCTCATTCATATGTACCATCCACATGTAAAAAAGTTGCTCCCCATGTTCCGTTGTATTCTTTCCCCTCTTACCTTAAACTGATGCCCTCCAGACTTCAATTCCCCAACCCTGGGAAAAAGACTGAGTGCATTCACGCTACCCACACCTCTCATGCTCTTGTGCACTTCTATAAGATCCCCCTTCAGTCTTCTATGCTGTAAAGAGAAAGTCCTAGCTTGTCCAACTTCTCCCTATAGCTCAGTCTCTTGCGTCCTGACGACATCGTTGTAAATTTTTTCTGCACTATTTCCAATTTAATAACATACTTCCTGTAGCAAGGTGACCAAAACTAAACACAATACTCCAAGTGCGGCCTCACCAACATCCTGTACAACTGCAACATAACTCTCCAACTTCTATCCTCAATGCCCTGACTGTTGAAGACCTGTGTCTTCACTTCTTCTTCACTGCCCTATCTACCTATGACTTCACTTTCAGAGAACCATGCACCTGAACTCCAAGGTCCCTCTGTTCCATTACACTCCCTAGGCTTTACCATTCACCATGAGATGTCTTGGTTTGTACTAGATAACCAACCAATGGAAAGTTTTCTCCCTGATTCCCATTGCTTCAGTTTTGCTAGGGCTCCTTGACATCAAATCCTACCTTGATGTCAAGGGTAGTCACTCATTTTTTTAAAAAAGCACACATCCTCTGGAACTGTTGAGAACACCAACCAGAATTCCGATCCACTGCTTGAAAAAAGCCACCTCAGTACACACCAGGGCCTCTGTGCCTGGAATGCCTTCAGTTCTTATACATAGGAAATCATAATTTGTTGCACATGCAAAATAATTCTAAAGGAAAGAAAGAAAGTCAATCTTTGACCCTGGGGACTGACATTAACAAGCTCTCATCAACCCAAGCAGTTTATAAGTAGATGCAAATACCTGAATTAGCCTCATCCAAGCATAAAAGGTGTTGGGCAGATTAGCA